ACTGCAGCCGCAGCAACAACAACGGAGGGAGAGAGACAAGGAAGCGGTCTGAGAGTCTCTCACAAAACCCAGCCAAGTCCAAACCCGGGACTGAACCAGATGGGACTTCCTCTAGTTCACCAGGAACCCAAGCCTGGTGAGCTGGGAAAGACCCACACCCTTAGTGAGCAGACATGCAGACTGGCTGGGAGCCCACACCAGCCAGTTGTCGAGGTAAGCCAGAACCCGAACCTCTAATAGACGCAGACGGGTCACCACAACCTGGGTAAGACACGTGAATACGTGAGGTGCCAGATTTAGGTCAAATAGAAGGCAACGAAAGTAGAAAGTTTGCTGCCCCACCACAAAACCTAACCAATCCCTGAACCCCAGATGAATCGGCACGTGCCAACATGCATCCCGGATGTCTTGAGACACCTAAGCATCCGGCTCCAAAAGAAGTCGGACCTGGGACAGAGTGGTCATCCGTAAGAGGGACAAAAGTTCCAGGGGTTCAGTCGGGACAAGTCCAGAATGAAACTCGGATCCGCACAGTCCTGTTTCGGAACTAGAAATGGGCGGGAAACCCACCTGAAGGATGGGGTCATTTTAACCACGCCCAAGTGTACCCACTCCAAGATGACCCAACGGAGTGCAGGGGAAGAGCCCTGCCCTGCTAGCCCCGAATCCCCTGGAGGAGATGAAGCCACACAATGCCACCGCAGGCTGGAAGAGAGACGACCCGAAATGCCCACAAATAGTGGGACCAGGCGTAAGCAAACAGCGCGAGCCTCCCCCCACCCGTCAATGTGGCAACACCCCTTGCAAGAAACCGGCCGCCGAACAGAGCAACCACTGCGCCGACCAGACGCCACCAGCTCCGAAACTGGCACCACTGGCCTACCATGACTAGAGGAATCCCGAACCCTGACACGACCCTTCTGGGAGGGGCCCACCACGGCTACCCCAGAGAACCAACACGTCCAACATGGGATGACAACTAGACGATGTTGTTTGCAGAAACTGCATGATAGCAGTCTCCCCAAACAGCAACGGACAAAAGGGCGATGAAAACCTAAGAGCTAGTCCAAACGGATTCCAAAGAAAGCAAGCACAGCCTGTTGGCATGCGAGGCGAGAAGCAAAAAACGGACACCGCCTCCTTCAGAATCAGCGCAAATAACTTCAACAATGTAGTAGATGCCCTAGCTGCCGAGGCAAGCGCACTGGACAAAGACCCGGCACGAAGTGCCTCTACATCCTCCTCATGCCAGTTAATGACAGCTCGAGAAGGGAAAAGAAACGCAAGACCTAGGCTAAATGCCACCAGGCGCGCAATTCCCTTGCCACCAAGGGAGCCGAAAGGGAGGGAACCTGCATGTGCAGCTGCACAATGCCAACATCCCGAGGAAGTACAGTACAGGGGCGAACAAGCACGCGTTAATGTGCCCATGCTCGCCTCCCAGGTAAACCTGTACCACAGAGGAAGTCTCCCGCTAGTCAAGTGTGCGGGTTCGACAAAAACCACGCCACGCTCCCAACAAAAAGAAAGGACAATCTGACAACCAGGAAGACAGTAGAACTCCGGTACCTCGTAATGCACCCAATAGGGGAAAGTTGAACCAAACTCAAAAGACAACAATTCCATCACCGAGGCGTAATCCAGGTCTCGCAGGAGGTAAGCTGCAATTGCTTCCTGAATTTTCTTAGGCAGAATTTGAGAAACCAAAATCCTCCAGAAGGAAGGAACTGAAGAACCCAGGGAAACCCGAAGCCTAACCCAAATCATACTCATACAGGGAAAAGGGATACGAAAACCCCTCCCCCTGCAACAACAAGCCCTGCGACAAGGGTACAACACCCAATCGGGCTCAAATGAGGCCCACGCCTCCAAGTCAACTCCTTCCCAGCCTTGGGATCTTCCACGCCAGGATCCGGGGCAGAGCCATCCTCCACACACCCTCTGCCTCTAAAGAAAAGGCAAAGTTCAGGGAAAAGGCTGAGAAGAAGGGGGGTCCGTTAACAAAAACCGGAAGCCTCGGCACGAGGAGCAGGCTCAAATGCCTCCATCACAGCAGGCTCGAATGCCTCCATCACCGACCCAGATGGGTCAGTCCCCGAAGCTTCCCAAGTCTCGCATCCATCTAAACCCCGTCCAGACTACAAAACCCTCAGACGTTTGGGAGCCGGGAGCAGGATAATCTCCACCAACCATGGAAGGATTCGGGAGCGCGGATGAAACCAAAGTCGAAGAGACCAACGCCCCCAAGTCCGGGTCCCCTATAACCAAACCGGGGCAGCCTCGGAGCATCTGGGTGAGCAACCAACCTAGAGCACTGCAGCAACCGATATCTAGCATGCAATGCTGAAGCCGCCTGTATCCAAACATCAATATCAGATGACTGGGTAATCTGGAGCATGAGTAAGGAACACAACTCTCAAGACTCCGGGTCAAAGATGTCATTGACCCAACAGGCAGCATGACGGAGGCAAAACTGGCAAGTGTCACCCCGAGACAAGGGGACAGAGCAACCATCAAACTCACACTCGGCGAGTTGGAACCCAGAGGATGCATCCATATGTCCATAGAGCCCCAATGGGGTTTTCCAGGGCCCTTAGGTTGACTGCTAAGGGAAGCCCAGAAGTTTGGTTGGGCCCAAACTCTTAAGAGCTGCTAAAAACTGAACCCCTGCAACGTGTACAAGCACGGGCGCCCTAGCGGAGGACCACCAATACAACAATTGGTATTCACCTAGTTGGTTTTGCCAACTAGGTGAACTATTTGCCAACTATTTTTTTTTTCCCCACACCACACACACACACCCACCCCAGGAAGCAGCCCGTGACAGCTGACTAACTCCCAGGTACCTATTTACTGCTAGGTAACAGGGGCATCCAGGGTGAAAGAAACTTTGCCCATTTGTTTCTGCCTCGTGCGGGAATCAAATCCGCGCCACAATTACGAGTCCTGCGCGCTATCCTGGTGGTCCTGGTGGATACAACCAAGGGGGCAGACCCCCCACCAGACAAAACAAACAAAAAGGAAACAAAGGTCAAACGGGGGCTACAACAACCCCAGCTGACCCCAAGGGCGGACAATTTCCGAGTAGTAAAATCCATATGGAAGCGGCTCCCGAACGCCTTGTGAAAGATAATCCCCAAGACTCAAGGCCAGTACTGTACTTACACGGCGCTTAGGGAAGTTTGACCCAAGCGCATGCAGCCCCAGTACTGATGAAGTGCTCCTGGCCTGTGCACCACACACCGCAGAAATACACTAAGTCACAAAACTGCAAGGAGTCAGAGGCCAGAGTCAATGACCGCCAGTCAACATCAGCCAAAGAACTGACAGCTGGAGCGGCTGGCGCGAGGGTGGGGATGACGTTCGCTTGTTTTAGTTTTGAGAGTTTTGCCTCCCTCTTGTTTTAAGGTGTTTTTTTTTTTTTTTTTTTTTTTACCATGGAGTTTTTGTTACACAGACCTTTCTGGGTGCCAAACTCTGGTCAATGGCAGGCATGGAATGATTCCAAACATATGGGAGTTTCCATAGGCCATTGCTCCTTGTGCCTCTCAAGAGGGCCAGGTTCTGGCTCGTGGTCCCTGGTAGGCAAGAACTCTAATCGGCTGATGCTGCTGTTAAATACATACATATCAGCCCGGTAAGCCCCGGAGAGCCATAGAGGCTCCCCACAAGAATACAAACAGATAAAAAATCATTCACAAATAAGTCCCCCATGCTCACCATGGAGCCACAATTAGAGGATAGGATACCCAAGAAGATGCCCCCCCCCCCAAAGGTGCATTGGAGATATACACCCTGCAATCGTCACCTTACGAGCCGTCAGTCCGTCAAGATCGGGCTCGGCAACGAAGGCAAAGTTTGACAAAAGCATCCCCTCACTCAACAACGTCAGGTACCACAGTTCTACGAGTGAGAGTGTGCCTACCCAAACACACTGCGTCAAAACAGAAGACATCATTCAAGAATGGCATAAAGTCAGCAGGTAGGGAACAATCTGAAAGGAGAAGAGGCAGGAAGGAAAAATTAAACATGTGTTAAAGGAAAAAATGACCAGCGGAATTGGAGAGAACAGCAGCAGGAGTACAAGGCTTCAAAAGGACAGAAGGCAAGCCGTCCCAAAGAGCAACACACTCCGGCAGCCGCTCACTAGGCTCCCACACGACGGCAATGGGCCGGAAAGGGAGGGGAAGCCATGCAAGACAGCTTATCTTTAGTCTTATCTCTAGTACAAAGCCAACATTCTCAAAGTTCTGCACCTGGCTCAACTTCGTGGACAACCAGTAGTTGGCACCTGTAACAGTAGGCTCTCGACCTTCAACAGTCTCATGCTGGAACTGCCTTGTCAAGAACATCATTCCATCAGCGATCATTCATTCCTAGGCCAACTCACATTTGGAACTTGTTCACTCAACAGGTTGATACATGGGAGATCAGGTCAATTGATCACACAAAGCCTCTGGCACACAGTTGGCTAAGGGCCCATCCTATTGCTAATAGGATTGTTTGTGAATGAATGAAGTTTATTCCTAATGATGCATATAATAGGCACATGAAATAAATATTTTTTTTTAGGAGTAGGTTTGAACCGAGCAAAGGTAGGATTACTGCCATTGCATGACGTTTCACCAGTATCCTAGTATGACAGTTACTGTATGTTAGTTCCCTATGATATTGATAGTGTAAAGAACAGTCTCATGAAATAAGTCTCTCTAGGAGCAGGCTTCAAAATGAGTTGAGGTATGATAACAGCAATTACTTGCATTTTTTTTTTTTTTTTTTTTTTTTTTTTTTAAGAGAGATCGTTAACAAATGAGACAACTAAGAGAATATCCTGGCATTTGAGAATGAGAATGGAAAGATTGATGCAGGTATATTTAATGTTTAAGTTGATATGTGATTATGTTCTCCAGACATAACATGGACACCACCAAAATGCAAACAAGAAATACAAATAATGTTACAAAAACCATTATATATATCTACTAAAGATTCTTGATTACCTTATTTGCAGGGACATTATTCTTAGTGTAGTCTTCAACTGGCCCTTCGGACTTCCTTTTCTTGGATGGTCGCTGATTTTCTAATCCTATTTGATTGCTTTTCACTTCAGGTAGTTTTAAGTGTCTGTAGAGGGCTTTGCTTAGGTCTTCAGAAAGATAATCTGCTATTATACCATGTGCCAATTCCAGGTATGCCTCTGTGTGGGGAAAAAATCCTGTTAAACAAAGGTCAGTCCATGCCAGATTTACATGTATTCAGGCCATGTAGATTTGTTTTCAGAATTAATATTTAACATTTTAATATTACAGTACTTGAAAGTAAAAACTTTGAGCATTATTACACATATAGCGTGCAATATTTGAGTCCCAAAGCAGGGTACGGCATTCTTAAATATTACAGACTCTTATCCTTTACACGGAATGGGTACGAGGTGCATGAAATTGACCTAGAACTGGAGTTGGGAGACTTTCTTGAGTATTACCATAAATCTATTTGTATTAAAATATTACTCTCAGACTTTAAAGTAAACAAAAACAAGCTAATGCTAATTACTCTTGAAATGAAGATTAAACTTCTCAAAGTCAAGAATTAATAAGGTGTCAATAGTCACATGTGATGTAATAAGAACACACATACATATAACAAGAAATGAACTGAAACATTTAATTTGAATACTGCAGGTTTTGGAAAAATGGTGGCATTACATTATTGATAAAACAACACTGATACCAGGACTTTTTTGATATCACAGCAACTTGGATGCTGTCTTTGGGGTATCGCTGATTTCTGTCCTTTGTTTTCCCTATTCACAAATGTTGGTTGCTACTTACCTCTGAACAAAGCAGCAGCATTTTTGTCAATTCAACTTGTGCAATTTTGAAAGTGTTAGCAGACTTGACATGCATGCTTTACCAGGTTGCTGCACCTGGTAGCTGTCAGGGGCCTGGTACCTGAGCGGACAGAGTGCAAGACTCGTAATTCTGTGGCCCGGGTTTGTTTCCCGGACCAGGCAGAAACAAATGGGCAAAGTTTCTTTCACCCTGATACCCTTGTTACCTATCAGTAAATAGGTACCTGGGAGTTAGACAGCTGTTACAGAGCTGCTTCCTGGGGGGATGGGGAAATAGTAGTTACAGTCGATTGATTGATAGTCGAGAGGCGGGCTGAAAGAGCAGAGTTCAGCCCCCGCAAGAACAAATAGGTGAATACACAGAGTCAGCAGACGACACTACTTCCCTCCCTCACCAAGATTACTCCCACCATACTATGCACAGTGCTAATTATCATCACAATCCTACTATTATCAGAATCCTGGTCATTTTTATCAGTCAGGGGTCTTCTGTAATACTATCATCACTAAATAATAACAGCTAAACATACATTTTTAGGTGATGCTGTTATCTCAAGCTAAACAGCAGTGCTGTTAGCTCATGCTGCGTGTGCCAGCCTTGGTTGTTCACTTAGTACCGATGCTCTCACACCCAGGAATGTTACCCCTATTTAAAAAAAAAAAAAATAAATAAATGGCATCTGTTTACAGGAGTCCCGAGACACAGGATTTAAGTCCCGTGTACCTGCGGTAGTTTTGAACCGCAGCCCTACACCTAAAAATGCCACATGGCACTCTGCGCACCCTCGATCTAGCACCACAAGGCGCTCTGCGCAGTACAGTAGTTACGATGCTTACCTTTGGTTTGTTCCAAATTCATTGTGCGAACATAAGTGAAACTCTGCGCACTAGATGTAGGAACTTTCCTCTCCTGTAATAACTTTGAAAGTTGTTTAACTTTTTTTTCTAGCCATGACAAGGTGCTGGATTCATTGTATTTCCATACTCCTAGTTCAGCATTTCCTGAAAACCAAAAAATTTAAATTAAAAAAGATATACATGATGATAAGAAATATACAGTACACTGTTTCTCACTATGGTTATATTACTCTATAACAGGGAGAGAAAATAAGCTCACAACTGGATGCTGGGCAAGAGATGATACAAAATGATCACATGCAAACTCAAAATCCTAACCAATTCCTGACAGCAGACTTGAAACCCAGACTTGTGTGCTCAATGCACATAAGAGGCACATCTCTCTACCTCCAATGCATATATAACCCTGGAAGAAAATTAAGTCTAACAAAAATTTAATCTTGACCAGCTGAGATGCCCATCCATCATCACAACACAAACAACCTTGGAAGTGGATACCACTTCACCCAAAAGACAAGGCAGCATACAAAAAGTGTATCAGCAGCAGCCTATGGGGAAAAATGGAAACACAAGAACTGTACAGTATTCAAAAATTCTAATCAAGGGTCCTGATACGTATATCACCAGATGCAAATCTTCTGCATTAAAAGACCACCTTACAAAAATAGAGTACTGCTTAGATAAACTTACACACCCCAAATATCATCTTGCTTACGACGAGGCAAAATAATGTGGTCAAGATATGATGACTAGACCACACATAGAAGATGGAGATACTACAAAGTTTCGGTCCATCTAGAAGTTACTTTCTAGAAGAAGATAAGAGTAAGGCAAAGGTAAAGGAATAGGACGAACAATAAAAATAGGATGAAAGGTAAGAATGGAAGGAAGGTAAGAAAAAGAAAAGGGGTTAGGCTTAAGTCAGGTCACATTTGTTAAGAAGGTTGAAGCATTTAAATATGTACTGCAAACAGGAAGAGTCAACAGAAATCCAGGACTAAGGTTCATGTTGGGTAAGTTGTGCATCAGAGCCGTTTTGACAAGACGGTGTCTATGAAGAATAGAGGCAGGAAAGATTATTTTAGAAGAGCAATTTATAGGATAATTTAAGAGTCCCCTAACATGACAGAAGAGAGCATGTTTGTGTCTGCAGAATTAACACTTCTTTTGTGTTCTTCCAAACTGCATGGGCACTAACCCAACCCGACCCAATTTTGGACCAGGTTGTTTTGTCCTATCTTTGCTTTTTCTGGATCTTGGCTCTAGAGCGGAGGGTGCTGCAGCACTCCAGGGCGGACATCGACTCCTCTTAAGGCAGAGTACGCCGGAGTGGAAATTGGCAACTGTCTGAATACATAATTGGGGGCCAAGACCCATAACACAACTTGGTTACTAATACACACTGACCCACGTTCGTTACATTACTCGGGTGTCGCCTCACAAGCTGTCACACACTTCTTGCAGTAGGAATTCCATTCCCACCTCTGACAGGGGTCAATGAGACTACAGTCTTAACCCACTGGATAGGTCATGAACAAAAGTGAATTGAACACTTCGTGAACACTTGGCAATTACTGCACTCGTCACTAGCAGTATTAAAACACTAACAACACATCAAATTAACTCACACCAATGAATGCAAAGAAGAAATATCACTAAGACAAACAAGTAATTAATTACTTTCAACAATATCACCAAGACATTAAATGACAATTAATGAATCAATTATGTTAATCATTGTCACTCAGATAATTAACACTCCAATAATTATAATAATAACTTGTTAGTGTGATAAAACACTATCACTGACAAAAACAATAATAAGGTGTCACTAGACAAGACAACATGACAATGGGATAATCATCCAGTAATACATGCATGTCACCAAAACAATTGCTAATTACACCACTTACCCACATGCCACAAAGACAACCATAGCAATCAATCAATCTCATCACTTCCTGTAACATATGGTAACAAATCATATCTCAAATGTGTTAAAACAACAACATTACACACGTCACTCCACAGTGACGCGACACTCGAAGGTAAACAAATCGCTCCTCCCGAGTTGACAGTAACACTTCACAATCTTATCGAATCCAAACACAAACAAAGCTCATTGCGAGATATACTCTGATCCGAGATTGGGCGACTATTGATCAAAATTAACATGTGCACATCAACAACAATTAATTAACCCGGGTTTTGTACTTGCACTCAATTACATCGTTCATGCTCCCCGACGATGATCCAGGTGTCTCCAGACATCAGGTACGACTGTGGATTTTAACGAGGGAGCCCAACATTTATATCCAACAGATGTAGATCAAGCTCGGACCTCCAGCTATCAGATGAATAAATCCAGGAGTAATTTGGCTGCACCACACGAGCTGGGCAATCACCTTGACAGAACCATCAATAGCACGATCTTAAAGAATGCTGGTACACTAACCCCACTTTGTGACATGTGAAGCGGCACACTTCCCCACACTCACTTCCCGTGCGACTGTAGAATACACGAACACACACGCACGTACACACACTGCCTTCAGGGCGAGCAGTTTCCTCCTCGTATCGACCCTGATAGTATGAACCTCCACGAGTTCACCATTGTCAAATTCTAAACTTCTTGAGATCTTTCACAGTTGATTGTCACTAAAGATGCTTTACTTCCCTTAAGACTCCCACGTGACACAGTCTTACCATTGTGAATCAAGATACAACACTGCTCCCCTTTGCCGGTTACTTGAGATTTCACCTCTATCACTGTTTTCTTCTCCGAAATCACATGTCTCTCTCCTTCACGGGTATTTGTCACTGCTAGTATTTTACATACAAACACCTGTGGTCTATGATTGTCCTTGAACCGTTACTGACGTCGTAATTTGTGTCTTTCGTAAAAATGTAGATAAATTCTTTGACACCTGTTCTACCAAGTGATTTGAATCTGGAATAGTACTGGTGTTTAGGCAAACTGTTACTCTGAGGACTTGCCTTGGAGCTCAGAAGGCAATCCTCCTCCTCTTCCTTGGAGAGACCTCAACTGAATGAGGCACTGGTTACTGCATGTGCCCTCCAGGATTCTGTGACGTCATCACCTGTCGACCAATCACATGCATAGGCCTCTCCTGCCTTTTCTGTAAACTCATCCCGATTGGAAGCTGCCCCTGTATATCCCACGACGTCATAGTTAGTTCCACAGCATCTCACCAGAGGGTGACACTGAGGGAAGGAATGAGGGGTTGTGGTCAGTTTCCAACCATTTTGTGGGGTAAAGTCCCTGTCTCTACCCTCCCCTCCCCTCCCCTCCCCACCTACCCCTGGCCTAGTCTTGTAGCCCTGCATCTTCCATTGCAACAGATCCAGATGACCCAGGTGAAAACTGATGACCTCATTGGACTCCTCATATTTAAAGAAATCCAGACACCCAACATGACACACATTGGATATCAAATAAAGTTATATCTTGCAAGCACTTATGCAAGCAAGCATCTTGTGCTTTGAGAGGGCTACCTCTCACACTGTGGCTCTTAGCTGCACAGCAGTGCTGTGAGCTGCTCCTGCATTAGCTAACCTTGGCCGCTCTCTCAATACCGAGGCTCTCACAGCCAGTACAGATACTGCTGATATTTTTTCAAGATGGCATCTGTTTACTGGAGTCCTGAAGCACAGGATGCGAGTTTTGAATCGCAACTTATACCTAAAAACTCCATATGGCGCTCTGCGCAGTACAGTGATTAAATATGCCAAAGCTAGAAGATAGAATGAAAAGAGATAATACGATCACTACACACACACACAATCACTACAGGGTCCTGACAGCCGAGTGGACAGTGCTCGGGATTCGTAGTCCTACAGTCCGGAGATCGATCCTTGGAGCAGGTGGAAACAAATGGGCAGTTTATTTCACCCTGATGCCCCTGTTCACCTAACAGTAAATATATACAGGTACCTGGGAGTTAAACAGCTGCTATGGGCTGCTTCTTCTCTCCCTGTGTATTTGTATAGTTACCTAAGTGTTATCCAAGTGTAGCTACAGGATGAGAGCTACGCTCGTGGTGTCCCGTCTCCCCAGCACTCTTTGTCATATAATGCTTTGATACTACTGACTGTTTAGCCTCCACCACCACCTCACCAAACTTGTTCCAACTGTCTATCACACTGTTTACAAAATTGAATTTTCTTATATTTCTCTGGCAGCTGTTTCGTTAGTTTAAATCTATGACCTCTTGTTCTTGAAGTTCCGGGTCTCAAGAATTCTTCCTTATCAATTTTATCGATTCCTGTTACTATTTTGTACGTAGTGATCATATTGCCTCTTTTTCTTCCATCTTCTAGTTTTTGCATATTTAATGCCTCTAACCTCTCCTCGTAGCTGGTTAGCTCTATCCTTCAGTTCTGGAAGCCACTTGGTGGCATGTCTTCACACCTTTTCCAGTTTATTGATGTGCTTCTTAAGATACCATGTGCTTCTTAAGCACCATACAACCACTGCATATTCCAGTTTTGGTTTTAACAAAAGTCGTGAACAATTTCTTTAGTATTTCTCCATGTATTTAAAAATAATTCTGAAGTTAGAAAGTGTAGCATAGGCTCCTCGCACAACATTCTCTATGTGGTCCTCATATGATAGTTTTCTATCTAGAACCACCCCTAAATCTCTTTCTTTATCAGAATTCTTTAAAGATTTCTCACATAATTTATAGGTTGTGTGGGGGTCTATGTTCTCCTATTCCACATTCTATAACATGGCATTTATTCACATTATATTTCATTTGCTAATTGGTGCTCCATATACTTATTTTGTCCAGGTCGTCTTGAAGGGCATGACAATCATCTAAGTTTCTAAGAGCATTTGTTTTACTTCGTCTCTAGACATCTCTATGTGCTCTATGCTGTTTTCTGGAATTCTTATTGTGTGTGGTTCTCTGAAGATCTCATTTTGTACAAACACACTTTGGAATTTTTCGTTTAATGTTTCACACATTTCATTTTCCGTATATCAGTCCCCCACTTTCAACCTCTGAATACTGTATTATCCTTTACCTGCAGCTTGCTTTTAGTGAATTTATTCAAAAGGCCTGGATACAATTTATATTTGTCTGCTATACAGTTCTCAAAGTTCCTCTCTGCCTCTCTCCTTACTGTTGTGTAATTGTTTCTTGCATCTCTGTATCGCTGGTATGTTTGGGGGTTTGGCCTCTTTCTATAACGATTCCATGCTTGTGTCTTTTGATCTCTGGCCCTCTCGCAATTTCTGTTGAACAAACACTGTTTCCTAGGTCTGCATGTCTGTTTTGGTATGAATGTTTGTGTGCCTTCATCGTATATCTCACAAAATTTGGCATACATATCATTTATTTCCTTGCCTAGCAACAAGTCTGTCCAATTAAACCCATGACAAAAATTTCAAAGTTCCTCATAGCGTCCTCTCTTGAAATCGAGTTTAACAACTGTTGCACTGTCCCGATTCTCTTCTATATTATATCGCATAGCGTATTTAATGTCCAAGAGGACGTGATCAGTTTTTGCCAAGGGAAGAAGGTACTGGATGTCAAATACCTCTTCTTTCCTGGTGAATACTAGATCCAGTACTGACGGAACATCCCCTTCCCTAATTCTTGTGGCCTGCTTGACGTGTTGATACATGAATGTCTCCAAGATGAGGTTTACAAATCTGCCTGTCCAAATGTCCCCTGTTCTTGCCTCATAGGCATCCCAGTCTATTGCCTTAAAGTTGAAATTCCCCAGTACCAACAATCGGTATTTATCTTTGTCAGTTCTTACCATAATCTCTCTCATGACCATTATGAGGCCCTCTCATTTGTCCTCCAGTTCTTCCTTTGTCCATGTGTTGCTTGCTGGTGGGCTGTAGGGATTTAAAATTATCAGCTTATCTTGATTGCAGACCTGCAATGTCATTATGTCAATATCTCGAGGTTTTCAAATATTGACTCTCTTACCTTTAGGTATTCTTTCACCAGCACAGCCACTTCTTTCCCCTTCCTAGTTTTCCTGTCACTTCTCCAAACTGAGTAGCCCCTTGGGAATACGATCTCATTTACAATATTTTCTTCAAATCTCGTCTGTTAATGCGACAATATCTGGGACTTTGAGCTGCATTATATCCTTCAACTCCAATATTTTCAATCTCACTCCATCTATGTTGGTATATACTATTTTCAGGAACATGTTCCCCCTTCCCTTTCTTCTTTACACCCCCCTTCCTTTAATAATTTTGTTGCTTTGTCTTTATGTACCATTTCACAAGCTTTCCAGTCCCTGACACTTTGTAGAAAAAAGAATTCCTTTCTTCATTTCTATCCCTATTTAGACGTTTCGCTTCAATGAGGTACATTTCCAGCTTTTCTCTGTCCTCCTTCGAGAGGTCTTGTCTTATTGACCAAAGTTTGCCATCCTTGTCACATTGCAATTTTCTGGTATTCTGAAGCACTTCTCTCATATACTTCACTCCATTAAACGTCACCCTTAAGGGGCGGTTCTTATCTTTCTCATATTTACCTGTCCTCCTAAAATCACTGACATGCTCCTTTGAATTAAGGCCGTCTCCTAATCCTACTATTTTCTCTATGATTTTCATCTCTTCTGCTGCTCGGTCCACCCTAGATGAAATTTCCTTCTCTAAACATCCAAAAATTATTATGGACTTCTGTCTGCAGTGTTTTGTACTAGTTTACTGTTCATAACCAGTTCTTTCCTAATTGCTTGCCTAAGATCTGCTACTTGTTTGTCATTTCTGGTTTTGACTTCCGAACACACTTCCTTAATTGTCCCTTTCTCTTTTACAACTTGTGCATACATCTCTTATTTCTTCTTTATACTCTTCTAGTTCTTTATTAACCTCCTCTATTTGAGTTACCAATGAAGTTTCTCATTGCCTAACTCCATATTAGCCCTCAGGGTTCCTTGGAGTTGTTCACCATGAGTATTTTCTTGTTAATTTCTTCAAATTCCCTACTCTTCACTTTCCATGCCTCATTATCCTTTACTAGTTCCTTGATGTGTTCCTCTTGCATCCTTACCTTTACCAGTCAAGCTGGTAATTTCCTTACCTTGCTGGAAAATACTTCCTTTAAAATTACAAAAGTCAATCTTGAGACTTTCATTTTCTTGTTCTAATTTAATTACATTTTCTTCATAATTCTTTAGCATGTCCTCAATAATCACTAACCTGCCAAGAAAACCACCTTTCATTACATCTTGTTGTGAAAAACCTGCAAAACATTCCCTTGCTGGGGTACTGTCCTACTTAGTGGTGGCGGCCATCTTTGTTGACATTCTGCCGTTTTGAAAGATCAACTTTTCTAGCCATGATTTTTCATTCACAGACAATTATTTCTTATCACTTAGTTTCTTTTTAAATTCCCTACACCTTCATGTGTTCTGGGACACCACTGGCAACCCTCACTCTACTCCCAACACTTTAATAATTTGAATTATCCTGGAGCCTGTAGCAGTGTGACTCTTCAGTGTAATGCTCACACTCACTGGGGAGTGTGGGTGTGGGGGGGGGGGCAACCCCACCCTCCAACCAGCAACTTCAAGAGGACATTGAATCAAGCTAATGAAACAAAGATGAAAATAAAAATTAGAACATTTTCATGTGCAGAGAGGTAGATGGTTAGAACAAGTTACAAGTTAAGTGAGAAGGCGGTGGATGCCAAAACCGTCAGTAATGGTAGTTTCAAATCATCATATGACAAAGAAGATTGGGAAGATGGAACACCACAAGTACAGTATAGCTCTCATTATGTAACTACTCAAATAATTACACTTAGGTAATTACACCTGATATTTATAAAAATATTGTTTCCAGGAGCCATAAAGAGGGAAGTTGAACAATTAATACAAGCAGAAATGTGTTCGTTTATTACATAGAACAAGTGGGCCAAAATACTTCAAATACAGAAACATACAACATAACAATCCTTAAAACTCGCCTTTTCTATCAGCAACATGCGAGAAATCCTTTGCTGTAGCTACAACAGCCAGATAAGATATTGCTGGGAAGTCTGGGTCTTCCAGCAGGTGGTCTATTGGAATATTTTTTGTGGCCTGAAAATACAGACAAAATTTAGGGCCTAAATATTTCTGATAATTGTAGCATAGGGCTTAACCCCTTTAAATGTAGCTACACTTATGACAGCAATCAATGTGTAATTTAAAAATCCTCCTTTACCTGTCGCACCGTGACCGCTGCTCATAAGCTATTTTTTAGGGAAGGAGTATTCTCTAGCTAATGATCAAAGGAGAATTCGATCGTGGGGTCTTAAGATATGGATTCTGCTTATGAAATATTCAAATACAGAACAGACTTTATTAATGCTTAAATATCCTCAAAAGAAAAAACCAGCGTTGAATGTAATGAAGCACCATTTTCTGGGTGAGACCCGGAGGCTCCCCGGAGCTATCCAGGCTGACATTGATATATTACACTTTTGGCATCAGTCAGTGTGAATGGAGTTCTTAGGCCTACTGGAAACCACAAGCCAGAACCTGGCCCCGTCGGAAAGGTACGAGGAGCCTATAAAATTGCAATATGATTTGGAGCATTCTATGTCTGCCATCAACCGGGTTAGGCACCCAGAAAGGTAATCGCCCCAAAACAAACCCCTATTCTGGCTAAAACTACTACTGAAAGCTAAACGAGTAGACAGAACTCCCCAAATGAAAAATGAAAACAAGCAAATGAGCATGACGTCACACATGCCACGCCGCTTGTCTGTGCAGCTCCCCCACCTCCCCGGGAGGGGGAAGGGGGAGCCCCAGACCCCTCGTGCCTGCTATCCTCACCTCAGTTCGAGGCTGGATGTAAAAAAAAAAAAATATGCCAACCAGGAGGAAAGGAAGGGTTGCTGGGGAGCCTCCGGGTCTCACCCAGAAAATGGTTTTCTGGGGGGAGCCCCTTCAGCTCCCAGGAGCTACTTACCAAAAAGAAGAAAACAAAAGGGACTTACCCAGGAGGCGGTCGTCACTCGGTCCTCAATACTACGAAGTGGAGACAACTGGCTGCAACCAATGACTCAAAGCGACACAGGCCCTATTAGGAATAGTGACCAGGTGGAGCGCAGCCAGGACCCTGTTCAATCGCCAAAAACCCTGGGTCCGAATGTCAGCCCAAGACATGTTACCGAAGACAGCAGCTGGCGCAACAAACTTACGAACGACATGGGCAAGGGGATAGACCGCAGGTTGGCTGGACCGAAGTACCCTGCAGACAACCTGCAAGACCCGAACCCTGGAACAAGGAAAAGGGGAAACTGGATCAACCCAAAGCGCATCCCCTGGGCACAGAATCCGTGGCAGGCATATAACGGCGGAGAGCCGCAAACGGACAACACATGATACACTCCCGGCCTAATCAACCAAGCATCATCCGCCCATGGATCCATCCGGAAAGCAGCAGTCCAATTCTTCGCCAGAAAAGGAGACAGCTGCAACCGAACAAAACTACCACCAGAACCAAACAAGTGAAACCCCTGTGTTGGAGGAGAGCATGAAACTCCCAACCCAACCCCCAGAGGCCAATGCCAACAGGAAAAACGCCTTAGAGAAACAATCCTGAACCAAAGGGGCCACCACAGACCTAGGAGGACAGAGAAGAGAGAGCACCCGGTCCAAAGACTAAGATGGCTTAGGCGGTGCATGAGCAGGCCGGAGGTGAAACAACATACACAACAGCTTGTGAAACACCGCCGAAGTAGCATCAACACTGAATGCAAGCTGCAGCGGCTCCACCAGTGCCACTGCACCATAATGGGATACCATTAACGAAGCCACCTGATCACCATACAGATGGTGATAGACTAGTCAGAAAGACCAGACACGAAGACTTGAGAAGATCGAACCAGCCACGTGATGGACCAGTCTAATGGGTATAAATTTGTACCCGTGAAATGTTGTCAATATATATTATACTATTATTTTTTTGTATGTATAAAGTATATATGTGAATGTATTTGATTTTGTATTTTTTCCCGACTTCATTTCAAAACATACTGACCTACAACTTTCACAATTTAGTGTATGAATGCCCACCAATATTTATTAAAACATACAAGTAAATAAATAAATTAGAACTACCATATCCATTATCAATAACTTCAATTATCTCGATAACTAGAAATTTAACCGAGTCGGCTTCAAAAATCCAGTTTCTGACCCATTCTCACCATTTTTACATATACAATCCCATAGATTGGATTTTTTTCATAAACCATAAACGTTTGAAGTTATAGAATTTTTTTTCCAAATTTGGCGCATATTTTGAATGTCATATTGATGAATTTTTCATTGTCGATAACTTCAACTTCAATTATACAGTATCTATAACTAGAATTTCAACTTACTTTAGTATCCAAAAATCTAGTTTCTAACCGATTCACCATTTTTACATATAGTGTGCACAGCTGTCTGTTCTACAATTCCTATACCTGTAGAATTGATTTTTCATACTCTAAACGTTTGGAGTTATAAATTTTTGTTGTCTAAATTTCCGCACATTTCAAATGCCATAATGAAAAAAATTTCTTACAGTAAACTATACTGAAAACCTATATTCTAAATATATGAAAATGAATATCATATGCTATTCTGAGAGCATAACACCACCACCAAATGAACAATTGGTGATATTTTATATTTTTGCAGCCGATTTCAAAATGTGAAGTTTTCAACATTCAATTTTATAATTATTTTTTATTATCTTGTTTTTCAGGTTACGCTGGTATCATTTAGACAAAGTTGGAACATTTGCCTAGTAGATTATGCAAAAAAATTCTTGAATGAATTTCAGAAAATTTAAAAAAACTGAGCTCAATATCACACTTCATATGACGTTTTGTGCAGTTTAGGGGTTCAAGGCAAGATACACTTGTACATACCGTAGTACAAAATATTAAAAATACATTTTATACATACTATTAAGTTAATATTTTTGGGGGTGTGGAACGGATTAATTAAATTTACATTTCTTATGGGAAAATTCGTTTCGGTTTACGATTTTTTTATTTACCAACCGTCTCTAGGAATGAATTAAATTCGTAAACAAAGGTACAACTGTACTATAGATGAATCATTTTCTGGGTTCAGTGATGCTGCTTCTGATACAAGTAGCATAGATGAATCGAGTGTTAGTGGCTTCCACTGTGGTGTTAGTGTGCCAGTGGTGGTGGTGCCAGTATAAAGAGCATGGGTGAATTTGCGAGGGAGGACTGTGATAACTTTGTACCACACAAACCACAATTTGATGATACTGATGTTAGTGTTGCACCCACTTTCCCATATACGGGTGAAGAAATGAGTGACAGTGAATATTTGATGGCTTATTTTGATGAGTCCTTCATGCAACATCTTGTTGACAAAACCAACAGTTATGCATTGCAACTGCAACTTATTACAGGTGGCTTATATCCTGCTTCCCATATGACATGATGGAAGGACACCACTGTGGCTGAATTGAGTGTGTTCTTAGCTCTGTGTATGCTTATGAAACATTCCATGAAACACACAACACAGGATTATTGGAACAACGATAGCTCTGTTCCAAGCGCAGTGTTCAAGTACACGTCATGAGACAGGTTTCTGTTATTTCTACAGAACAAATATACTTTGAAAACATTGCAAATGTTGATCAAAATTATCGACTTTGGAAAGTGCAAAATGTGCTCCGTAATAGACAAAAATTTTGCTATTACTTTGTACCAGGACAGAATTTTGTCAATGATCTTTTCATAGATCTTTTCAAGACTACCTTATACTTCACAAGCTCGGCTACATACCACCTACAGGAACCAAAGTCAAAGGTGTATGCAAGTGCATTGTTTGCAATCACACAGAACGAAAGAACAGGAAGCAAAAATCTGTGTGTACCTGGTTCATCGAGTGCAAAGTCGCACTGTGTACCATGGACAGCTGCTTTGATTATCACTCGCTTCCAAAGTACTGAGTGTATAATACAAGTGCACGAGGAGCACCAGTAGTCTCAGCTGGTGCATGAGGCGGCCAAACGTGAAACAAGGCATGAGACAGCTTGTGAAACCGAGCCAAGATAGTACTGACACTGAATGCAAGCTGTAGACTTTAAACACATTGGAATTAAATAAAATTTGTATTTGTTATTTATTTATATATACAAGAAGGTACATTGAGTTTGTCAGTACATAACAAAGGTGTTTTCAAATTCTTGAAAAGCCCCTAACAGGCATAGCATTTCGAGCAAGTCCTCAACCCCTAAGCCGCGCAGCTATTAATAACCGACAACACCGCTGTGTGCAAGAAAAAAATTCAACAATTTTTGTTTTTCCTTCCAAGATTGTTAAAATGTGTTCCCTGATCATGGGAAAATTACAAAAAAATTGGAGCTAACATATTTTGGCCTTGACAGGGGTGAGGAAATCTGGCAAGATACAGGAACTGAAAGATTACATGTCCGGGGCCGGTCTCCTCTAACCAAGTTGTCAGGAGGGAGTTGCCACAAAGATATTATTACCTAATTATTTCAATGTCTCCAATTGATTTTTTCCTCTGGATTTTTGCAGTAATATTATTCAAGACAATCGACTTGAGAATGGTCCAGGACGGACCGAAACGTCGTCGTCTCTTCAATTTCTAGTGTGTGGTCTGGTCATCATACTTCAGCCACGTTATTGTGACTCATCGCCTGAATATTATTCAATAGTGTGAAATGTGATATATTTATATAATAAACCATCGCCATACTCAAAGGAATGGTGTACTGAATTATTAATAATATTAGTGATTCAATTATTATGTTCATAAAACAATAAAAGAATATTTTTGCTGTTAATACACTGTATACACCCATTATATATAAGTATCTACATCTTTTGTTCACCATACCTGTACCACTAAGCTGGTATGGTGTCCAAACAGCATAGTGGCTACCATGCACTATATGACAAGTCGCACACCAGCCAGCAGATGACACCACCTCCCTCATCAACATTGCTCCTCACAACATACTGTACCATTTTGCTGTTATTACACTGTATACACATGTTATATATAAGTACCTACATTTGTGTTCACCATAA